GGAGCGGCAGCATATTGCGTGCTTTTCACTCCAAAGCAGCCCGGACTGGAAAATGCATGGCCGGGGCGGAGGAGCGGTCCTCCTTAACCATTCTCCAAATTGTTGCTACCGCTGCAAGCCCAGCTCTGGCTGCAAGCATACAATTGTGAGGGCAGGCTTTTCCAAGGCCGGGCATAGAGGAAAACAGCGAGTGCTCCTTGCCTCCCCACGGCTCTAATTCTTTAAAATTTGGGGGGGAGGGGTTGCACACATGGGCCACTGGGGGGAATCGATGCCTGGAGTGAGAGGGGAGTACAGGCTGACTGGGCGGGGAAGGAATACCGGACTTCCAGCGCTTGTGCGGGAAACCCAGGCTTGCAGCGGTAGCAACAGTTTGGAGGACTGTTAAGGAGGACCGCTCCTCCGGCCCGGCCATTGTATTTTCCAGTCCGGGCTGCTTGAAGTGAAAAGCATGCAATATGCTGCCGCTCCCGGGATTCCCTAAATCAGTGCTGGAAGAAAATCGGCCAGAGCTGGGCTTGGAAGAGCAGCCGATGGACTTCAGGGCAAACAATCTACTCCTCAAGCTCCCAATGCCAGAGCCGGCGAGCTGGAAGAGAGATTCTCCGTTGTGCTGGGGAGTATGTATGGACCGAGTAGGCTTTTTGCTTTCCTCCCCCTCCTCATCCTGATGCAACATGGTGCAGTCACCCCAATAGAGGTGGAAAATGGGGTGTTTCCATTGGCCCTTCTCTTCCCCCCCCCCAATGCCTTCTTTTGCCAGCATTTGGCAGGTAGGCTCGGCAGTCATGATCTTTAGATTGGCTTTTATTTTGTCAGCCCAAGAGCAAGGGGGTGGGGAAGGTATGTAGGAAATCGCCCCGTCTCTGCAGCATCGGTCATGTGACTGAGTGGGCGTGGCCAACTCGACGTCAGTCACAGCAAGGTGCCGCTCCACCTTGCCGTGAGTGACATCGAGTTGGCCATGGCCATTCAATCACATGACCCTCCCAAGCCACACCTACCCAACCAGTCACTAGGAGAACCGCTTAAATCCCACCTCTGCAGTAAATATTACAAAATAGTGATCTCTTACATTCACTCTACCAAATACAGACTTTCTCCAAAAACTAACTTAAAAGCTCTGTTTGAGTCTTAATCATTAAAAAAGTATTTTGCACCACAAACCAAGTATTGAAATAAAATTGAAAAAAGAAAGCACAAACAAGAATCGTGTATGAGATTAACAGGCAGATTATGATATTAAATGCTTTTGTGGGTCAGTGTCCACCTGAGATGCATCAAGTGGAACTTCTTTTGGCAAATGTATAGTGCAGATTGGTCTCAAAGATTGTGAGAAAGGAGTCTATCGGTTTACACGCTGCAAAAGATAACAGTTCACCTGCTCTTCAAAGTAATCTACTTTGGCTCTGTGCTGCGGGCATGCAGACAAATCCTGTTCCCGACATCCTTTCATGCCTGGCTGCCAATATAAGGTAATATTGGTGTATGAAATATGAGGGCAGTGTTGTTTGTCTGCTGTGGGGCTTACACAGTGAGACTCTTATGTGCTGATGGATTCGCTTAAAACTCCCTTTCCTAGCCTTTTGCAAAATACTGCTCCTAAAACACATAAGGTTCTACAATAAGGGGGGGAAATCCAGTGGTGCCTGGGTTCTTGATTAAGGTTGTGAATCTACCTAAAAATCACATTTCACATTAAATTAAAAATAGAACTTTTCAGGATTTTCGGAATTCAGATGTTTTATTTTCAATACTGATTCTTTCTGTTTCTCACTCGTCTTCCCCCTTTCTTCTTTATATTACCTTCACTTGACTCTTCCTTCTACAGAAAGGCTAGAAAGGCACAACAAGCAACTCTAACACTTTGCTCCTGTGTGCAGTGGCTGATTAAGGCTCACGGGTGCCCTAAGCACTGACAAATCTTGGTGCCTCCCATCCTTTGTACATACTGTACAATCGAAGCCCTATTCTCAACTTTGTGGTGCCCCCTTTGGGTCTGGTGCCTAAGTACGTGCTTAGTCTGCTTAATGGTTAATACACTACTGCCTGTGTGGTTAGAAAACAGACCACATCTTTCTTCATCTTGCTTGATGGCCAAAAATGAGAGCTCCTCTACCTTCCTCTTGCAGAATTTGTTAAGCCATAGTTCATAGTTTATGATTGTTCTCCTACATGGAATACTTATTGTCAAGTGACTCTTAGCAGCTCCTGCTTGGAACCTGCTAGATCAGTGTCATTCAAACTTGTTAACTTTAGAATATGTGGAGTTCAACTCCCAGAATTCTCCAGCCAGAAATCGTGCCAAGAAAACTGGAAGGATTAAACCAGACCAGAAGGCAATACTGACTTGAAGGCACAAAAGAAAAAGAAAGGGGGGGGAGAAGGAGGGAAAGAAGGAAGGAAGGAAGGAAGGAAGGAAGGAAGGAAGGAAGGAAGGAAGGAAGGAAAGAAAGAAAGAAAGAAAGAAAGAAAGAAAGAAAGAAAGAAAGAAAGAAAGAAAGAAAGAAAGAAAGAAAAAGAAAGAAAAAGAAAGAAAAAGAAAGAAAGAGAAAGAAAGAAAGAAAGAGAAAGAAAGAAAGAGAAAGAAAGAAAGAAAGAGAGAGAGAGAGAGAGAGAGAGAAAGAGAAAGAAAGAGAGAGAAAGAAAGAAAGAGAAAGAAAGAGAAAAAGAAAGAAAGAAAGAAAGAAAGAGAGAAAGAGAAAGAAAGAGAAAGAAAGAAAGAAAGAGAAAGAAAGAAAGAGAGAGAGAAAGAAAGAAAGAAAAAGAAGGAAAGAAAGAGAAAGAAAAAATAAAGAAAGAGAAGGAAAGAAAGAGAGAGAGAGAAAGAGAAAGAAGGAAAGAAAGAAAAAGAAAGAAAGAAAGAAAGAAAGAAAGAGAAAGAGAGAGAGAGAGAGAAAGAAAGAAAGAAAGAAAGAAAGAAAGAAAGAAAGATAGAAAGAAAGATAGATAGATAGATAGATAGATAGATAGATAGATAGATAGATAGATAGATAGATAGATAGATAGATAGATGCTGGGGTAAACTCATTAATTTAAAATTGAGCATTTGAAGTTAGCATTATTGCACAAGTCTTGGGATATTATTATCATGAGAAACAAATAGTCCTCCACTTACAACAATTGAACCCAAAATTTCTGTTGCTAAGCAAGACAGTTGTTAAGTGTTTCATGCCCCATTTTACAACCTTTTAGTAACATGGTTATTAAGTGAATCTGGCTTCCCCTTCTGCTTGTCAGAAGGTTGTAAAAGGTGATAACAGTAGCAATTGCACTTAGACCTATATACCACTTCATAATCCCTTACAGCCCTCTCTAAGCAGTTTACAAAATCAACATATGGACTCCACAATCTGGATCTTCATTTTACCAACTCAGAAGGATGGAAGACTGAATCAACCTCAAGCCCACTTTGAGCCCGTCAGGATCAAACTCCAGGCAGTGGGCAGACTTAGCCTGCAGTACTGCACTCTAACCACTGTGCTCTGGTCATATGACCCCAGGACACTGCAACCATCATAAACACATCCCAGTTATTATGCATATAAATTCTGATCACGTGACGGGGATGCTGCAACAGTCATTAGTGTGAGAAAAAAGTGAGAAAAGTCACTTTTTCAGTGCTGTTGTAACTTTGAACGATCATTAAACGAATTGTTTTAAATCGAGGACTACCTACATAGCAGGAGGGGTGTCATCTCACTGTGTTGATGAATCTATATTCCAGTCTGTAAGCTTCAAAAATCATTCTGTAGCTCTTCCACCTTTTCCCATTTGAGATACTTTTGTGGGCCAAAGAAAAAAATGTGGAAGAAAGAGTAAGAAAAGATACAACTGGCTAACAGCATCTAGACCTTTCATCTAAAACTGCTCAATTATCCTCAGTCTCCTTACTAGTAATTCCTCTTCATGACCAGTGGATTCCCTATCCCATCTTCTTTCTTATCCAAATTAACTTTTAATTTTGTTTTCAACTTGCATTTATTTTTTTTAACATCAGAAAACAAAGTCAGTTCAGCAACAAAGGAAAACAAAACATGGGTTTTTATATCCTTTCCAGTCTAAGGAAATAAGATTTGTGAGTATTCTATATATGCTGATCATAGCATAACAAATTATTCTGGGCTTGTTATTTTATTAAATTGTGTGTACGACTAAGCTGCTCTATAGCTTGAGAGCTTAGTCTACAAAACATACACTAAGCCTCTGAAAGTTGTTACTCTTTAAATAAAAAAGTATTGAGGGATCTCAGAGATTGCATATAGTTTAATATCACATAATGCAACATAGCAAAGAAAGCTTTTGCTCAACTGGAGCACATAGTTTGTATGCAGAAGGTCCAAGGCTGAATCTCCATCTAGAGATAAGGGAGAGGAAAAAATCAGCTTGAATCTCTGATGAGGTGCTACCAATTTGTGTCAATTACACCAGGCTAAGCTAGATGACTGGCCATATTCGTATATAGCAGTTTTTCTATAAAAGAAAAATTAATCAGATAGAATTGCTGGGTGACCATGTGGACAGTATCAAGCTTTGTAGCCTGGCTTAATAGTGAATTACGTACTTCCAGACATTTAGATTAGACATAGCAGGAATGACTCATCTAGATTAGAATCTTTATCACAGACAAGAATGAAGCTTCAAACACAGCAGTACAAGGAAGTGCAAAAAAGGCAATGCTCTTTGAAGTGCAAAGAAGTTGGAGACTTCAATGATGAAGTTCCAAAGTCTAGGCTTCTTCACCTCAACCATCTAAATCATGGGTGTCAAAGTTGATCATGTCACATGATTGACATTTTTTTGCCTTTGCGCCATAGCCTGCATGTGATGTATCTGGCCCGCAGGCCTCAATTCTAAATGAACTGAAACCTGGCAGGTTGTTTGATGTCTAAGGACTTCCCAGCTGCCATAAAAGCTGTTGGTTCCTGCCTCACTAAAGCCAATTCTATTATGCAAATATTGATTGAAAGATGTACTCGGATATGTCAAATGAACCAGAGGCAGCAATGGACCCAAATTTTAGTTGCTTCGAGAATCCTCTTATTTATAAACTAGACTCTTCTCTCTTCGAATAAGACCAAAACAAACATCTTCCTTCTTGGTTTAGAATATAGACAAAGATTCACTATCATATTGGACCAGAGTAAATAGTTAATGGATGTAACCTAGCAAGAAATTATGCTACAAGCAATAGCTATCGCCAATTTTTTTACAAGTACACAAACATTTGAGAACTGAGGTGTAAGCTTGCTTCAGGACAGCCGAACAAGATCAAACTCTGACATATTACTTGTACCGACTTGCTTGTGACAATCAGACACCAAAGATATTCTCTCTCATTTCAGAAGTAGCTTAATGTTACAAATTACTGCGCAGAAGAAAATTCCCCTTTCCAGCAGTGACGTGATCCTTGGGTAGCCTGATCTGCTCAGAAACAGATAGAAAGGAGAGAGAAAAAGAGAGATTGATCGTTAATAAGGGAAAGGCTTCAGGTTTGCAGCTAACTAGAAACACGTTCACACCACAGTGTTTCCACCAATTTCGGAATAGTTTTTTTCTTCATTTCTCCTAATCTGAAATACAGAGAACAGCATAAACAAATTGCTGCGCTCCTTCCAGCCAACCAGTAGAAAAGTAGAACCTTTCCCCTCCACTACTTTTGCTGGAATAGCAAAAAAAAATCATGCATTCTCCACATTATTCTAAAACGATGAAAAATAAATTTCCAGTGCTAATCCTAGCACGTATTGTGTGCAATTTTCTAGACATTCTGTAAAAAGTCCTAACAGTTTCTGTCAAAGGATATCTGCAAAATCAACAAGGCACTGTTTCCTTTTTTTAAAAAAAATCTTTTGCTGTCTGTGATTGTGAAAGAATAGCATGCTGACAACTGTGCAACCATGTGTTGTTGTTTTCTTAGTAATATTATAGTTGTACGATTACTGTGGCATGAGGTTGACTGGTTTGAAGTTCAGTGTGTTCTGCAAACACAACCAACAAACGCTTGTGACCTTGAGCTAGTCTAACAGAGACACTACTCTGAATAAATTTATCAGATTTCTTGATGCCTGAATCACTTTGCCAGCTTACTGGATTCTAGATCAAGGACTGTGGTCAAGGATGATAGGAATTCTAGATGCACATCTTAGAGACCAAACTTGGAGAAATCTGGTCAGAATAGTTTACATACCAGAGGTGGGATTCAGCAGGTTCTGAACAGTTCTGGAGAACTGGTAGCGGAAATTTTGAGTAGTTCAGAGAACCGGCCAATCCCACCTTTGACTGGCCCCGCCCCCATCTATTCTCTGCCTCCCATTGAGTCCCAGCTGATTGGCTGGGTCTTCTTTTGTTGCCCTGTACAGGAGAACGGAGCTGGAAAGCAGGTTAGTGGGGTGGTGAGGGAATGAGATTTTGCGGTAACCTTCCCCTGCCATGGCCACCAAGCAATACCACATGCACCAAGCCACGCCCACAGAACCAGTAGTAAAAATTTTTGAATCCCACCACTGTTACATAACTATGCAAAGCATCACATTCCCAGCATTTCTGCTTGTTGTCCCTTAAGAAGTTCCAAAGCAGTGGCAGAGGCTGGGCCTCCCTCCTTGCCAGTTGGCAGAAAAACTAAAAAACAAAACAAAATGCCTATTGTCTTAGGTCCTCTGTCAGTTAACTGATGGGCAAAAAATGGCAGAATTTTCATAGTGCCGAGAGGAAACATTAACCCTTTCCTGTGTCCAGTGAACGGGACAGGTAACTTTCCACATCAATGCTCAGTTCAGAGTAAGATTATGCCACCATCTGGTTGGTTTGGCTTTTGCAAAGCAGGTGTTATGAAATTCCTGCTATGGTTTGCTAATCATATTTTACAGCATCCATGCAAAGATATGCAAACAGAGACGAAAGTCATATTTTCAGCCATTCTTTTGCTGTGAGATTTTATTTTATTTTTTTCTTTTTCTACCACAGGGAAAAGTCAGTTGGATATAGAGAAGGTATATGATCATAAATGGAAAATCATGTTATCTATGTATCACTAATGCCCATTTACAAAATACAAATTAAATATAGCTAATAAGACAGTGGTGGGATTCAAAAAATTTTCTACTGGTTCTGTGGGCATGGCTTGGTGGGCGTGGCTTGGCTTGGTAGGCGTGGTAGGAGAAGGATACTGCAAAATCCCCATTCCCTCCCCACCCCACTAACCTGCTTTCCAGCTCCATTCTCCTGTGCAGGGCAACCAAAGAAGACCCAGCCAATCAGTTGGGACTTGGGAGGCAGAAAAATAGATGGGGGCGGGGCCAGTCAGAGGCCGTATTTGCCATTTCTCCGAACTACTCAAAATTTCCACTACTGGTTCTCCAGAACTGGTCAGAACCTGCTGAATACCACCTCTGTAAATAAGAGCCTCATCTAGAAGCTTCCCTTAAGAGTTGGAGAAAGCTGCCTCTTAAAGGCTTGGCTGGGCAAAAAATCTTACACTTTCAAGCAGGCAAAAGAAAAAAGCAGTTTAACTGAAAAATGAGGCTATACCTTTGTAACATACATTAATAGAGAAATTATTGAGTGTTTAGATGGCTTCAATGAGGTTCATACACAATGCTAAGCCAAAATAATAATAATAAAAAATCAGATGATAACTTAGATGTTGTATGAGTTCTTACATTATGGTTTGTGAAACTTGTTTTATGGCCTAATATGCTGAATGAATATGTTTTTTTAAAATACATTTTATTGATTTTACAATTAAAACAGACCAACAACACATACATAAATGCAAGAGAGAAAAAGAAAATAAGAAAAAAAATAGAAAGAAAAAGATAAAAAACAATTAAAAACATTTTCATCTTCAATAGTTTGTGAGACCTGCTTTTTATCCTTATTTTATGCCATATACACACTTAATCCTTACATATATCTGTATATCACTACTACGATTCTGAATGAATATGTTTGATGAACTATTATTGTGTAGCCATAGCTTATCATGAGGGCATTGACACATTTTTAAAAGAGGTCCAAAGAGACGCACCATTTTCAGCTACACCACACTTTATAGAGGGAAAGCAACACTGACTGAAATTATATTTTCAAAATTGGCAGGGATCAACTGCACTTAACAACTTTCTAGATCTTATCTACACAATTGCAGGAAAAATTGATTTTAAGAGTACAAATCAAAAGAAGGAGCTAGAAGTGATATTAGTAAATGTTGTGGTTGATTCCCTCTCCTCATCTTCACCTTCCATTCTTTTATTTGATCCTGGCACAACTTTGTTGTCTTTAAAAGCTTTACTATTTCAGAAACATTGCATATTATTTTCCTAATCCCTGACATGTTTCTGACCATCATGTAACTTTGTATGTAGCTATACATTTCTGTGAAGGG